AAAATGTTACCTTTTTCTAAATAAAGACTTTTAAAGACTCTCTTATGGATTAAACAAGGGGGGTTAATGCAATCCCTAAATCAAGAGTTAACAGAACAATTGGTGTTCTGACAAATATCTGAAATATTTGCTATATTGAATTTACCAAAACACAGGCTTGTTTATCCAAGTTAATTCACTTCCCTATTCGGGTATAAAGCAATACAACACTTCTAGTATGGATGCAGTCATACCCATATAAATGTTCTTTATACCAGTATATCTATTCCATATAGGGAGAATAAAACACTCTGGTAGCACGGTATGCATATCAGGAGTTGGACTGATATACTATTTTGATTTAAAAAAAATACACAAACACATGCGCAATCATTGATACAAAAACTTTGTGTACATCAAACCTAGGAAGTGGTTACACACTAGATAAAATCTGTCAGCACTCCAGGTATCTTCAGAGGTTCTTAGCTTTATTCATAACAAATGGACCATTATGATATGCTATAAAAATATGCAACTGAGGTTTCCATTTTTAAGATAATAGGAGACCCTGTCTGACTATGAAAGCAGAGTTACCGACCAGTAAATAAGAGCTTATGCTAAAACATAATTTTATTTTTTTTAATAAGGATTCTGAGCTCACTCATCCAGTGTCATCTTCACATTACTCCTAGTCAGTTTCACATCAGAGAATCCAGGATGACAGCTGAATTAAACATCAAGCACAATTTAAAAAAACATAAAGACACTACAAGAGTGGACAGAATGTCTTACTGCCATACAATAATGAAATTGTATTGCAAGCAAACATGAAAGTGGGGCAAAGGAGTCATGGAAATTTATAATCAACTTTCTTTTGGGACGCAATAATTTTCTAAGCCTCAAGAAAATAGCACAAAAATGCCTTTCTGGATTCAGCTCGGTTCATAGATTTAATCCGATTAGTGTTTATTTGAAAACAGACTCCTTTAGAATCACAACCACAAGCTTGGATACAATAGTTTCTAAACTATCCAATCTTTTGAAGACGTTATTTTCAGTTGGTGGCTTAAACACCCAAAGACTTTTTTTTTCTTTGATCAAAATATTTTACAAGGGAAATCAATCTTAGACAATGCTATAATATGAACTGTATTAAAACTACATAGCAAGAGTATACTTAGCTCTACAGTACATCAACTGGCATTTTAAATTTTGTATATTTATGAACAAGATACAGAAGTATAGTTATGCATACCTTAAAAAAAAAGAAATCATACAGCTTTTCCCATGAAGTAGAGAAACTTGTGTTGTTTTACATACACCGGTATTGAACCACTGCTCAGTTCTTTAAATGCTTGCACCACAGAAGTGAGGTGTCTAAGTCACGTTTCTAATCAGCCTGCAACGCCATACCCTCTGACACAATAAGGAGCCTAACCACTTATCCTGAATATCCTCTCGTCATTCGTTAAGTTTTATAAATTGAAGACACTGCTGCCATTATTTTTCTAGAGCAAATAAAATACTAGGATAAAGATTTGCTGTATAACACAAAACTAAAAAGAGCATTTTTTTCCTTTTGTAAACCAGAAACCCTGGCGTTGCTTTTAATTACTTTATAACAATTTATTTTATATGATGTTTACAGGTAACACATATGTAAGCTACATCTGCTGCATTTTCTTTGCCAAGGAATCACACCCTCATTTTAACTCTTTCAGTTCAGTAATTCTCAGTGTGCAGATCTCAATTCTGTGCACAAGTTTCAGTTAAAAATTATGAACATTTACATTTACTTGTAAAGCCACAAAATAAAATGGTGTTGAATATGTCACTATATTGTAGGACATGTGTTCAATAGGAGCTGCATTAACAGAGAGAAATCAATTCAGCAGGGGTCAATTTATCACATCTATGTGATAAATTGTCTACCGACTGCTCTCCCATCGACTCCAATAGTCCACCAAAATGAGAAGAGTAAGTGGACTCAATGGGAGAGCATCAGCTGTTTACTTACCGTGGTGAAGATATTGTGGTAGGAAGACCGAAGTACATCAACTTCAGCTATAGTTGTATAATACAGGTCGACGGCCCACGTTAGTGTACACAAGGCGTGAGTCAACCATATACTGATTTTCCGATGCAGTTTTAGGGTGAAATAATTCCATTACATGGAGTCTGACCAGATACTGTCTATCTTGTTGATATGCAAGTGAGTTGGAAAGATTAAATCCATTCCCTCATTGCGGGGCCAAGATGCAGCATTGCCACCTACAGAAAGCAGCAGGTGCAACTCTGAATCACTTGTAGAGGGTGTTAGATCTACTAGGCAAAACTAGAATCTGCATAAACAGTGATCCCATTGCAACACCCGATCACTGTTCTATATACTGGCCTGTACAAAAAACAGCTGCAAAACAACCTTCTACAGTGCCTAGGGAAAAGAGCTGTGGTGGTTCCCTGTATGTCTACTTTGCCAGAAGCCCTGTCCATATTATGGAGATTAAGTGATGCAAAGGGGCTGGCCTACTGGACCATGGAAAATTTCACAAAAAGGAAATTGTCATATTCTCTGAGTAAGTATAAAATGCATTTACAAAATCAGAATTGTATTTTTGATCAAGTTACATTTTACCAAGGAAGTGATTATGTAGCAAGAATAATTACAATAAAATCATACTTCAGCTTTTATTACATTACCTTTTTTCTAGTATGCTTATTCTTCAAGTTTTTTATAGTCACATGGCTAGTCTACCTTACTAAACATAACAAGTTGGGAGATATTCTTCCACAGTGTGGTACCAATTTTAGTACATATGAGATCAAAATGCCAAAAACTGCTATTATTGACAAGCATTTAAAAGACCTAACCTACGGTTTGGCTAACTTGTTACCATTAATTTCTATAACAAGAATATGGAAACAGTGTGATAGGTATGATATACAGGGCCATATATTACTAAAAAATGAGAAAAATATTTTGCTTAGTAATATTTTTATTTATTGTTTTCATAATCTTGATTCCTGTTCATAAAATTAAAATAAGCAAACATTTTAATATGTATTAAAACAGGAGAAACATCACACAACTGAGAAAATTAGATGTATACATTTGTAGTCATTTTATATTAAAAACTGATTCAATATTTCAATACTGTAATTAAAAGAAAATTACAGAAACATTAGTATAAATATACCAAAGAATTCATGTGACATGTCAAAAAAACATAAAAAAAAATCAAGGATATTCAGAATATATATTGATGGCCATTCTTCACTCACTCACTCTGCCTGGATGTTCCAAAATTGTGTAAGTGTTGAGTGGTATAGATTTCAAGGAAATTAAATATATTTATTTCTTTGGGATATACCTACCTATATATTTCTTTGGAATGTACCTACCTATATGTGACCTTTCCTTGGGAACTACCTACCTATAAGGACATTCCTACCACTTCAGACTGACTTATGAAATTATCTGACAGCAGTAGCCCAGGTGTCATTGGTAGGGAGACTTGGAATGACCCATCCTGGAGGGATACAGCTTCCTTCAGGATGATCAGCTGGTACTAGGTATTGATCCCATTCATGCCTTTAATAGAAAAAATATTTAGATAGGTATTTCTTCTGTTCCAACTTCAACTATAAGCTGTCTCAAACACTTGATAAAATAAATTCACATCAGTGTTAGTATTTAATATTATTTGATATACAAACTCATAAAATGTATTCTCTGAATTACATTATTCAAAGCAAAAACTAAGATAATTTTCAAACCAACATGAAATAAGCAGGCATACGAAAGTTTCTAACTATTATATATGGTGAGTCTCTATACGCTGAAGTCTATAAAATATTTCAAGAGCCAAAAGCATATTGTTCCTAAATTAAATTTTGTAAATAACATCAATATAATGCTGTCTCCATTTTATAGGTTGTACCATTTTGTCTCCACTGTATATAGTTACAAAGCAGTTTAGTGTCAGAAGAAAGACATGGACCCTTTATTTCTAGATTGTTTTGACAGTAGCTCAGATATTGCTAGTCTACAAGTTTATAAGATGCAGAAGTTTATAAAACTCAGTTAAAACTTTCTATTAGAAGGTAAGCACCCCCCCATATAAAAGCAGGTCAAGTGTTCCAGCAACATTTACAAGGTTTTTGTGTTTAGTATTGGCACACGATTTGTGTAAAGAGCAGTAATGTTGTTGATTTGAAAATGAGGGGTTTTTAAAGCACAAATGCATTGGCATAACTGTAAATGTCATGATCGTTGTGGACAAATGGTTTGAGATTAATATTGTGGTGAGTGTGAAAGCTGCCTTAATTTATTATTTGCTTACTTTTTATGTTCATGTTATTGTGAGGCAATATATTTCAGCAATTATAATTATATTAATGAACTTTTTAAAATTTGTATTAGCTGAAAGCTGAGTTAAGCAAATAGCGCTATTAATTTTTGTAATCAAAGAGATCCAAGGAGAATTCATGGTATACAATTGATATCCTGGAAATCAGGAAAACAACAACAAGATTCTGTAATTTTGTCATCTCGGATCTCTGTGCGACAGACAACCATATCACCACCACTAACAAAGACGTTTACGCTTACCTTATCTGGATGAGGGCTGGTACAGAATGCTCAGCTTGTAAATAATATTGTCTATAGGGTTGCAGTAGATGATTAAGGGGAAACTCATCTGTTAAAACACATACATAAGAAAACCATTTAACAACACACTTTTTGAAATTGGAGGTTGTTAGGATCCCTAAAGGTGCTCTATTTCACTTGTCACTCCATGATTTAAGTTCTTAGTCAACTAATATATTCTCGTTACCAAAAGTATTATGGTATTTCTTATGATTAAGTGAGGTTAGGACTTTGTACGCTCATACAAAAGCCAATACCTTCAATAGCATAACTCCCTTTTGGGGCTGTACTAAAAGGAATAATGACTCATGGTGAATCACCAATACTAACACATCAACATATTGTAGGAAGTCTTCCTTTTAAATACCAAATTCAGCTTCATCCTGCTTGGCTTGTAAAGTCTGCTGAAATCATAATTTTGATAGTATGACTACATACCTGCCTTCTACATGAAGTAATTTCCCACTTATCAAACTCTACTAATATTATAATGAAAGGGCACGAATATATTGTACATATTGTTTCCTGCTCTTCATAGTGTAACTTCAGTAACTATCAGCTTTTCCACGCAAAGCAGTGTTTGCATTTTAACCTAATTTTTAAAATAACTCCCCAATTCTGAATTAAAATATGTAGAAATGTACCTGGATCCCCGAATAACATGGAATCAATGTCCCGTTTCTGCTGTAGAAGTTTTTCCCTTTCTTTCTTCTGTTTCTTTTCCATTTCTCTTTTCCTCTCTTCTTCCTGTTCTCCTTCTAACATAACTCTTAATGCTCTCTCTTCAGCTTCATACAGTTCAGTGCGTTTTCTGATCAGTGTCCTCAGATTCTGTATGTGATGTTCAAAGGCTTCATCTGCTGAGGGTGGTGGACAAACACCTATACAGAAAGTGAACTAAGTTATACTTTTCAATCACAGAAATGGTATTAATTTCAGCTTCATACAGAGAAGGTTGTAATCTATCCTTTAAATCAGCTTCTGTACCTAATGACTGGAAGAAAGCTAACGTGATGCCAATATTTAAAAAGGGCTCTAGAGGTGACCCTGGCAATTACAGACTAGTAAGTTTAAACTCAGTACTAGGCAAATTAGTTGAAACTATAATAAAGAATAAAATTGTCAGACACATAGATTAACATAGTTTGTTGGGGGAAGTCAGCATGGTTTCTGTAAAGGGAAATCATGCCTTACTAATCCGGCAGAGTTGTTTGAGGGGATCCACAAACATGTGGACAAAGGGGATCCAGTGAATATAGTATACTTAGATTTCCAGAAAGCCTTTGACAAGGTCCCTCACCAAAGGCTCTTAAGTAAAATAAATTGTCATGGGATAAGAGGGAAGATCCTTTCATGGATTGATAACTGGTTAAAAGACAGGAAAGAAAAGGTAGGAATAAATTATATGTTTTCAGAGTGGAGAAAGGTAACTAGTGGGGTCCCCCAAGGGTCTGTCCTGGGACCAATTTTATTCAACTTATTTATAAATGATCTGGAGAAAGGGGTAAACAGTGAGGTGGCAAAATTTGCAGATGATACCAAACTGCTCAAGATAGTTAAGACCAAAGCAGACTATGAAGAGCTTCAAAAAGATCTCACCAAACTAAGTGACTGTGCAACAAAAGGGCAATTGAAATTTAATGCTGATAAATGTAAAGTAATGGACATGGGGAAAAATAATCCCAACTATGCATACAATACAATGGGGACAAATTTGGCTACAACTACTCAACAAAGAGATCTTGGAGTCATTGTGGAAAACATCCACTCAGTGTGCAGCGGCAGTCAAAAAAGCAAATAGAACGTTAGGAATCATTTAAAAAGGGATAGAGAATAAGACAGAAATATAAAGTTTAACCAGGACCGCACAGCATGATGGGCTGGGTCGCCGCATGAACCCTTTACATTCCTATTACTAATAACAATGAAATAGAGCTATTCATGAAGAAAGGGGCAAAGATGGAAAATGCTTATGGAGTTTTGCTAAATAAAAAGCTCTTTGTTAGCCATATTTGAATCGCCATAAATTATTTGTCTAAAAAGGTTGCATTTCTTGTATTTCTGCACAGCTCACAAAGTGCCAATAATTACCTTTTCTTCCTGCTGCCTCTTTTCTCAGTTTTCGGAGCTTTTCTAAGGCACGCAGGATGTCAACCATTCTCTTTGTGTCTGCCTGCTTTTTCCTTACTTCAGATAAGACACTGTCTGCTGCGGCTTTAAGTTCGCGTTCCTGTGAACAGAAAAATGCACAGAGGAAACATGAAATAACAACTATGAGCAGGAATAAAAAAAATCAAATATGATAAAAAGAAGAATAAGTGAAATTCAAAATAGCATTCCAATGATGGAGAGATAATAAGTTAGTCACTTGATACTGTGTCAATGTTAATTGAAAAAAGAAAACATAGCAAAGAAGCTTAAAAAATTGGAGAGTAACACCAAACCAGGGACATCAGAGGCTGATAAATTCATAAGCCTTACTAAATTCTGTCCAAAGAAGTTAAAATAGCTCATGTTGTATATTAAAAAACCTGGGATCCAGGTCCCATGGTATGACACACAAGATTGATGTATTAGCTTGTAAGTAGACAGCCTGAGGTTAAACTTGTAGGGTCTGCTCCTCAAACTTGCCCTGCATGCTTTGCACCATTCCAGTAACACAAAACTGTATAGTGAGTTGACTAGTATTCTGACTATAATTCCTTGATGGTACAGATCTGACACTTGTTCTTATTCCACCCTCGTTCCAGCCCCTGATGCAGGTTTGTTTGGTTTTTTTTAAGGCAAAAAACTAGGGGGCTGTTCCTGCTAGTTTGCTCCCTCACCAACCCCCTCTTGCGGGGGGTAGGTAACCCCAGCTCTCCCCCCAGCCACCAACAAGGGTCAAGCTGCAGCTGCGCTAGCCCAGGCCCCTTCTACTCCCCCACCCCACAGCCCCCAGTCATGCTAGCCTGTGCTCTCCCTCATTCCCTGCCCCCTTCCCCCCGGAGCCCGGGCCCTGCTCCCTTCCCACCCCCGGCCATGCCAGCCCAGGCCCTTTCTTCTCTCCACCCTGTCCCCAGCCACACCAACCCTTCCTCCCACCCCCAGCAGGAGCTGTGCTTTCCCCAAGCCATCCCCAAGCCAGATCTGGCACAGATCCTGGGGGTTCTCTCTCCCCTCTCCCCCCCCCATGCAGGAAGCTGGCACTGGGGCTATAATCTTTCCCGGGGAGGAGGGGTGAAACGAGGCTGGAGCTCCAGGCAAGACATGGCCTTAGGCAGGCAGTGGATTGCAGAACATTGGGGATCCAGAGATAGAAGCGGGACCAGAGGCGCCTGCCACCACCACCCTGACCCTCCTGCAGGGGAGCGGGGAGCCCAGGGAGCCCCCCAGGGAGGGGCCAGAGGGAACCCCAGCCATGGCTTGGGGCCAGCGGGGAGCCCAGGGAGCCCCCCGGGGAGGGGCCAGAGGGAACCCCAGCCATGGCTGCTGCATCTGATTCTTCAAAAGCTAAGAGGTGGGGCAAAGCAGAGTGACATGATTACGCCTCTCTGTAATATTTATATAACTAAAATGAAAGAGGAAAAGAAAAACACTTCTCTAAACTGTTTACAGTGAGTACTATGCTATGGAAATGAATGGAGCTTTCAGTCAGTCAATAACAGTATTATTGCCAACCCCAAGTGTAGAAAAAAAATCACAAAATTAAAAAACAGTAATTATACATTCTACATTTTTCCTTGCCTTTGGGTTTCTAGGGTCTGATATATACTTAAAATTTAGCCTCACTCAGCTACATCGCTCAGGGGTTAGAAAAATTCACATCCATGCAGGCTAATAAAGCTGACCTAAGCCTTGGGGGAAACATGGCTAGGTCAAGTCTTCTGATAATTAACTTCCTGACAGGCAGTAGCTAGATTAACTACAGTGTTGGAAAAACCCTTTCCATTGCTGTAGGAAGCGCCTACACTACATCATTACAGCCACAGTATCATAGCTGTATTTCTGTACTGCTTGTGGCAAAGACCTGGCTTGAACATTTAGAGGATGCTTGTGTCAGTCTCATGTTTCCCTCTTAACTTAAAAATAAATAAAGCAAGGATTTGCACATAATCCTTTGACTTCAGTAAGTGGGACTTTAAGAATGTTACTAAATTTCACAAGATTTGCAACAAAATTATGAGAATTATAATAATTCTTGGAACTTTCATTAGAGAAGGGCAAAGCTTCTAAACAGACGAATCTTACAGACATGCCAATGAGGTAGCTAAGGGATACCCCAAGAACCATTTACTGAAGCAGCCCCTGCCTGTGACACCCCCAGGCCCACCGCAGACAAGGACTGGATGCCTGGAACAGCCCTTGTCTGCAGCAGGCCAGGAACTGCTCCAGCCCCCTCTGGTTAACTGATTAATCTTTCACATCCCTAGACGGAACACAATGACCCATGTCGGGATTTGACCAAAGCAGTGGAATCACTGTCTCGAGTTGGATCTTTAAAGACTACCAGAATGGGGTCATCTTGAAAGCACAACACCCACAGAGATGCTGAACTAGGGATGTTACCGAATCCCACCCCAGCTTAAAGTGGTTTCCATCATATACAGGCTTTACAGTTTGGTTTAATGACTCTCAGAATCCATGATACAGCAAGTTCTAGCACCCCCGAGTACCAGTGTTCGCTGTCAGCCAGTGATGGGCAACCTAGGCTAGTGAGTGGACTGCATGAGTGACTCTCCTCCAACTCAGTGGGCCACAAGACCGAGTCACAGGACAAGGTAGTTTTGCCTACTGCGCTTGCGTACCTGGAATACGCATGGTATGCAGACTGAATAGTAGCAGCACTTTGGATGCAGAGGGAGCACATGTCTTTTCACAGTCAATGGTGTGCAATCAGCATGCACTAGGGATGTAAAGGAGTAGTAGAGTCAACTACTGGCATTATCCCCCACTTCCTGCCTCTGATACTGCAGAGGCGGGGGAGGGGACGTAGGGGCTGCTGCTGCAAAGCAGCCCCTGTCTGTGGCGACCAGCCAGGGGCAGGGGCTGCTTCACAGCAGGGATGTTAAAATTAGATTAATCAACGGATCAAATAGTGGATGGAATTTCCATTGCAGAGCCTTTGAAATGTACAAGATTGAAATGCCACGTGGAGCCTGGGGCAAGTGGGGGACTCAGTCTCTTGCTAGCCCCAGGCTCCATAAGGCACTTCTGCTTTGAAATGAACAAGAGCCCCAGCAGCGACTCTTGTACATTTCAAATGTGGAATGCTGCTGCTGTGCTCCTGCCCCCTCCCATGGAGCTGGAGGGAACCGGCTTTTAAGCTGACTCCCTGGCCCAGCACCTCATTCTTCTCCCTCCACCTTGGTGCCTCTTTCTGACAAAGGCAGCAAGAGTTGGGGTGGGGAAGTAACTAGTGTGACAACTACCTGATAAGCTTATCAGATAGTTGACCTACTAGTCGCTTACATCCCTAGTTCACAGCAGCAGTCCCTGCATG